TTGTCTCAACTGTCCTTGCCAGGAGATTGAACCGGGGACCTCTAGATTGAAGTCCATCGCGCTGACCTTTTACACCCGCGGCAGGGTCCCTCGATTTGTAAAGCAGACGCCGCTCATGGTTGCGCGCGCGTGTGTATGGTGGAGTAACCACGGTTGTAAGAACAATGACCAAATTTGGTATTCATTTTTGGAACATGACATAGGAATGTTGAGACAGTCTTTAAGTTGCGTGGGTTTAGCCGAGTAGCAGCAGGAAGTCTTAAGTGCTTTCCACATTGTAACTGCTGGAGCCTGCTGGGGACTGCATATTTGGCGAGCGCTTTATGTTTCCCGAGTATCAGCGACCGGCGGGCAGGCGTTCGGAGCGTTTGCACGTTGCTTTCATTGTGGTTTAAAAGCACAGGCAGTAAGCTCTCCATGACGGCTCAGGCGGATCCCGGAACAGAAAAGTCTCCTTGATATTTTGGTTTGCGGTTAAAGCTAATTAAAATTCACTGTTTGGAGACGATATTGCAATGGCAGTGGCATTTGTTGGCGTGTAACAAACGAACAAAATCTAATAACCGAGCGCTGATCTGTATTCAATGCGTGAAGTGCGCGGCACATTTTCCCTTCTGCTTTGCTCTGTAAACTCAGCAGGGATTGGGGGGTGGCGAACTGGTCACAAAATAAGCACCATTTCTGGAAATCCGTTTAATAAATAAACATTTTATGATGAATGAATGTTGATCGTTTCAAGCGGGGGTTACGGTTGACTCATCTTGACCCGTGACTTCATGCTTGGACTTATGCCAAGATTCATTTAAAAGGCCCTCTCCCCATCCACTCTGCTATTCAGCCGAGTGCGTAATGCCTCTTCCCAAACTCCACCTCCCCTCAAGCAGAGCACCCTGGCCTCCCAGCTCCTTACTTCCCTTTCTCTCTGCCCACCCTTGATTTTAAAGCATATTCTTTCTGAAGTTGTATCTATAGGCGCTGCGGTGGCGAGATGTTAACTACCTCACCTGGTATGCAGGAAAGCGTGGGTTCAATCCCAACCCTGATGGCTGTGTGTTTGTAGTTTCCATGTTCTCTGTGTGGTCGCGTGGGTTTTTTCCGGGTCCTCCGGTTTTCCCCTCAATATTTAGAATCTACATGGATTTAGAGTATTTGGCTACTATAAATGTGCACATGATAAGCCACTTTGTTGAGCTATCATTTGTGGCCAGACCACTTCTGAAATAGCACTCTGCAGTTCAGTGGGCCTTCCCTGGTAAAATAGAAATTGTTTAGTTACATTTTAAAGCATATTCATCCTTTCTGGAGCTGTATCTATTCCATAAACCACACGGGTCAAAAATATGTGCGTGCTATCATCGTCGACGAATGAAATCTCAAGTACATTAGAATGGCACATGACAGCGAGATGTTGCACCGATAGAAAGGCACGATACAAGACTGTGATACATTTTGTAATGTGCACCCCTTTATCAATCCATTGCTGAAGGCCTGGAGGTTGTTTGACCATACTTCCCAATGCTGATCGGTGCGAATTGGTCACGGTAATGCCCAGAGCCGCCGCTGCTTTTAAACGTGGCTGGAAATCGCAACTCGCGTGGCCAGGTTCATAGCTTAGGCGCACGACACACGACGTCACTGCTCAAACTCTGGTATATATTTTAATCTTCCTTAAATCTGTGTTTTTAATCTGTTGGTAACCATAGAAAAAGTGTTCTTGAACAATATCATCTTGAAGCAAAACTATTTTACATTGGTGTAAAAGTGGTGAAAGTTGTCTCCAATTCTTATTTCCCACTCCAATTCTCGTGTCTCTATGTTTAGGATCAGTCTCAAAACGTCACTTATTATACATATGTTTCCCTGTATGTTGAACCTCTTTCGCACCGTATGTAGTCAACCGTGATAATCGGAGGTGCAGAGTTATTGACGAATGTGTTGCAATTGTAATTGTACATTGGTGGTGGTGGAAAAGCATAAAAGGTTTATGGTATGGACCACTGCGTTGTATGCACTGAGTTGTCTATTGAGTGAGCTCATAGTTAATGTGGTGGCAAAGACTGGCAGACCGAGGCTCGACAAAGCACTGACCTCACCCCCCACCCCCCCCAATTAGCGCTCCCCAAAGCGGTGGCCTGCAACTCCGCGAGACCGCGCGGCTTTCAAAAGAAGCGAGACTCGCAAGTTTTGCATATTGAGCAGCGCTTTCTTAGCGGCTCACAATGGCCGAATTCTTCTTTGGGCCGTATTTGTCAGCATGCAAAATCACGCATCGCTGAATTGTATATTTAAAAAAAAATCGCTGACCGTCCTTCTTGTGATACACAAAGCACCTCTCATTGAAGCCTGCTTCAAAGTGGTAAACCATGACAGAAAATACTTTTTTTTTAAATGCATGAAAACACAAGTGGATAATAACCTAAAGACTAGGAAGGTAAATGACAATCATGTCCATGGGACCATTTTTGCCAGTATCAAGATGATGGGAAAAAAATAAATAGGCTTTACCCTTTTCAGCAAGAATATCGGTGTTAAGATGTTGAAACACCAAAGACACTTATTACAATGCATTAAATCTGCATCAACCAGACATACTTTTGGAAGAAAAACATGCAAACAAATAGGCTATCAATTAGGTATGAATTTTCCTTGAAACGGATTGGCCTACACCAGAGACAGCTTAGTTCATGTCTCACCAGTTAGACCAAAGCACGCCAAAAGGCGAACAGCACAACAAATCATTGGCTTTACCATATTTGGTGTTTAAATATCTTAGCAGCTGTATTTTTGCCGTGTAGGATAAATGAATTTTTTTTTTTATCATCTCGATACTGTCAAAGTGCCCCATAGATAGTAGTATAAAATATCCTCTATGCCCTGGTGTTTTACCTCGGTAGATATCAACCGTACCTTGAGGTCATGAGTTCCAAAGCTGATCAAAGGTCGACTCAACCAATCATCCCTGTGGCATAGATAAACTCTGTACCACTGTGGGAAGTCAAGAGTGGGTGTCCCATGGGAGGAATGGCTGCTGTTGTCATTAGGACATGGAATTTCACCACGGGTTCAGGACCGCCATGCACATTTTAACAGGAGGGATGTTGGCGTTCATTTCTGTATGCTATATATAAAGGAGTTGACGGAAACGACTTTGATCATTATTGCTGCTACATGCATGGAATCGGTTAGAATGATAATTTGTCCATTTTCCTCAAAACATCGGCACCATTATACTTTTCGCCATTGTGCAAATTAGAATAATTGTCTCATAACCTTCGCTTTCCTCAAGACCCTTGCAATCATATATTGATTTATCGATATCTTTTTTTAAAGGTCGTCGATTGATTTATTAAACTATTTTTAACGTCATCGATCTATTGCTTTTCAAATGGGCTTCCTTGCAGGAATTATTGATTTGTGAGACCCAAAAAACGACCGCAGTTTAGAACTCACTTTTAGATTTTGATTGAATTGGGGAGGGGGGTGGAGGAGTAAAGGGGATCACCTGGGGGCTTGAACCCCGAATCTCCAGGGTCTGGGGGCGCTCAGTGCTCCAAACACGTGCATGAGAATCGGTCCCCGGAGACGCGCGGCCAGCTCCCGCTCGTCCCACATTCCCGACGCGCGCCACGGTGCCGTGACACGACCTCGTGGGCACAAAGGGACATTCGGCAACAGCGTTCGAGGCATAGCAGAGGCCGCCCAGAGGATTGGGGAACTTCACTCATGTTGCGGCGACGGGCTATTTTAGATCTGGCCACTTGCGTTTCCTCTCACCGCATTCCACACACGCGTGTGCGCGCGTGTGTGGCGTGCGTTTGTGTGCGTGCGTCGTGGCTTTACATAGCGTCTAAAGACATCATTATCTCAGGACACCGCACAACAGCAGGCGCAGAATTAACAACAGATTAAAACTGGGAGGAGGAATGGATAGCGTCCGCGGCATGGCACGCTAGCCGCTTGCATTGCAGGTCATGTGAACGCTGAATGAATGTCTGGTCTCTCATGAATCTGCCTCTTTATTAAGTTCTCTGGCCAACGTATCTAATCCCTCTACCCCCACTGCGCGCTCGTGAAGAGCACGCTCAAACTTAAACAATGCACAAAGCTCTTCTATATCCTGACAGGATTCCATTCTGAGCTGATTCTATTGACCTGGTCAGGGCCTTGCAATGGTGTGGTCGGTGTAGTCGGCATCGATCGCCAAGTACAGGTGAATTTCTTCAGACTCGTACCACACGTGCGAAGAATGCCACGAGCGTCAACCAACAGAGCGCCGGCCAATAGGCATGCACGTGCACATACCTGCAAGAGTTAATGGTGCGTCACGAAAACCACGTCTGGGTGCAATGGAATGGTGCCAATTTCTCAAGCACATGCCAACAGACCAGCTCCATTAGCCTGGAAAACATCAACACGAATGAATTCGTGTTGATGTATTCAGCTGGGCAGGGCATCTAGATGGGCAAGATTGACAGTGGGATGGAGGCCGATGAAAGGAATAAGGAAAAGAGGCAGACAGAAAACGATGAGACAGTGGTTACGAGCCGAGAATATATGGGGGAGTGCACTGGACGGAGGTGGCAGGCGATCGTTGAGAGTGCACGACCCTGAGAGGGAGGGCTCCCCTTTTCTCAGCAGTGGTGATATTAACGGCTAGAAAGTGCCTTTTATACCAAGGCGCTTCACAGCAATTATACAATTGTACAAAGCATGATAACGATTTGAAATGAAGAATTGGGTTATTGTAAGTGGCGGTGTAGTTTTGACGACAGCAGAACAACAGGGATTGATTATAAGGAGGGGTTGGGGGACAGGCCTGGTCGTAGCTTGGGGGGGTGGGTTTGAGGGGTGGGAAGACACCGTGCTTAGAAGCAATTTCGATTCCTAGAGCCAGGAGGCCCCCCCCCCCCACTGCGAGCGAGACGTTTATTGTCAACTCAACGGAGGTGAAAGTCAAATGCACCTGCGAGGAAAAGCGCCCGAGAGAGAGAACCAAAGCACCGTTTTTGCAATAATTTATTTGAGAGGCAAAAGTACTGTGTTATACACTGTAACAAAGACTGAACAGGTGTTGAAATAGGAACGCTTCTGCACAGCACTTCACAACTATAGCACTGGGGGGGGGGGGGGGGGGGGGCGCGGCAGGGGGTGCAGGGGGAAGTAGCACTTCCTACAAAATACAGTGGTAAAAGACTCGACATCATACCAAAACAGCAGCACCGAGTCTACCGTTATGCCGCATTGTTATAGTATTAGCAAGAGTGACTTCAAGATGAAGATACATTACAGCATGCACGACTGACCAAAGCAGTTTAGTTTAGACATTACGTAAAAGGAACAAAAACGTCATTAAAGTTACATTGGTAATGAAAACACGTGACCCCAAACCGTGATGGAATTGTCACAGCATTATTGTTGCAACGTCAATTTGTTTTGTTCACATTGCATCACAGCTTTGTTTGCGCTCCGTCGCTTCCTAACTCGTTTAACTTTTCGAAATTCCTCGCACTTTCGGTGGCTCCCACACGGGATGGTTTAACAGCGGCTTAGTGTATCCGTGTGGAGTGACAGCGGAACACGACGACATCTCTCCGCTGCTTTGTGCTACTTCCGTCGGCGCTGAAGAGTAGCATCACTTCAGCAGCTCGTCAGCCCGGACGACGACTTCAAATATCTACTCTCTATTTGATCTGCATTGTATGAAAACATATTTTGGTTACGACAAATTCACATGCCGTCCAGCCGAAAGGCAACTTTCTCGTGAAACATTCTTAACTTTGCTGATGTACGTTTGAATATAATTTACGTGTGTAGTGTGAGTTTGCGACATTAGTAAATGTCAGCTGCACTCCTACGCATGTCACATGGTGCTTGCAGCGAGGCTCCAAGCACAGTGTCTAAGCACTGCGATTGCCTCCAAGCATGGTGTCTAGGCATCACGATTGCCTCCAAGCATGGTGTCTAGGCATCACGATCGCCTCCAAGCATGGTGTCTAGGCATCACGATTGCCTCCAAGCACAGTGTCTAGGCATCACGATTGCCTCCAAGCATGGTGTCTAGGCACTGCGATTGCCTCCAAGCACAGTGTCTAGGCATTACGATTGCCTCCAAGCATGGTGTCTAGGCATCACGATCGCCTCCAAGCATGGTGTCTAGGCACTGCGATTGCCTCCAAGCACAGTGTCTAGGCATCACAATTGCCTCCAAGCACAGTGTCTAGGCATCACGATCGCCTCCAAGCATGGTGTCTAGGCACTGCGATTGCCTCCAAGCACAGTGTCTAGGCATCACGATTGCCTCCAAGCATGGTGTCTAGGCATCACGATCGCCTCCAAGCACAGTGTCTAGGCATCACGATTCCCTCGTGCCGAGATGAACTCCGCTGAGCCTGCCATGTGCATGCAGTGGGGGGGGGGGCAACTGCACATTGCGAGATTCGCAAAAGCGTCATCTCATGTCAAATAGAAGTCACGCACTATTTTGACAATTTCCAAAAGCGTAAGCCGATGCTCAAGCGTCACAGCTCATGTCTCAAATATTACACATCGACTGCAATCATCCCCCCCCCCCAAAGTCTTCACCGTTAAACGGGTGGTGAACCTGTGTGAGCCTTCACCAGGTCCGACGAACAATGAGGGGGGAATTTGAATTTGTAGCCAGCCCCGTTCTCTACCCCATATTCCAATAAACGCTTATAACATGTGTTCCACTGCTACACACGCAGCTACACACGCAGCTACACGTGCACACAAATCTTATCAATAGATGGGAGAAAGTTATTTCAAATGCACAGGGAATATGCAAATGTTTATTCTCATAATAAGTCCTTTGGCAAGAACTGGTATCATGTCAGCCAAAGTATTGACTTTTTCCTGACAAATGATTCTCCACAGTTTTAATTTTACTGAAGTTACTGAAGCAGCAACAATTTATTTCCATTACGAGTAACATTTATAGCTTAAGCATGACAGTTATTTTTTATATTAAGTATGTTGCAATTATTCTACGGATGTTAAGAACTAATGGCAAAAAATGTAGTGTTAAATTTAACTATGAAAAGGTGATGACTAAATGAACCCGTTCTGAGCATTTAATTTTCAACTGAATAAAGCATGTGAGCCCATTTAAAGGATTTCAGCGTTGAATCCATCTCACCGAGTATGGCACGGACAGCAATATGTTTTGAGTCTCGCTCTTTTTCAGAGGCAAGTATAATTTACTTTTTTTTTTGTAAATATACAGCGCAGAAGAATATTCCGAATTCGCATTACTTTCAAATTATGCTTCGATAAGTTTTCGTCTGCAGCCTTATCTTCCTCGCCTGGTATGGAGGTCAGGGGTTCGATCCCGACCCTGGCGCCTGTTGTATATTTGGAGTTTGCGTGTTCTCCCAGTGGCCGTGTGGTTTTTTTCTCCGAGTCCTCCGGTTTTTGCCCCCACATTTAGAAACATGCATTTAGATTATTTGGCTGCTATAAATTTCCACTGGACCATCTGTGAAAAAGAGCTTCATAGCTCGTCGTATTTTTTCCAGAATAAATAAAGATTTCGATCCTGATAAATATTAAAGATTTTCTCTCAGCCAAGACATGGCTTTGTTTGAAAAACACTGAAATCCAGAAATGGTCACTCCGGCCTCATCAGCATCAACATCGCAGAGCAAAAAAAATACTTTGAGTCTCCAAATCCTTCATTTACTTCAAAGTTTCTCAACCGTAGAAAAACCAATGTGCCTTAAACAAAACTATACAAAACATCTCTAACCACACAAAGGTATTACAAAACAATAACAAATGAAAACATACCCTTGCGAACACTGCATCACAGGCAATATGCCTAAGCAAACTGTAAAGTAACTATCAAGCTGCAATGTACTTTAGTGCACATTTAACAGTTTCCAAAGTGATTAGGTATATCCTAAATCAACCCATTTAGTGTCTTGAAATCTCCCAACACCCGTTTCGAGTGACCACAAACTCCGGTATAAATGAGCACGGACACCACATGGCCGAAGCACACTTGACAGCAAGTGAAGAATACAAAAAGTTATTACCTTGTTTGAGAAGGCGACATTAGCAACTGACAAAAGCCACGTTTCTGAATCAAAGAGGAGAATTGCTTTTAAGCAAACCGTTCACTTGACCACTCTGCAAAAACAAAATGTATGTGTGCAAAAGCATATCATTCTCTCTCTGGCACCTTACCAAAAAGCCAGACTTACCCAAGTAGAATTACTTAAGGATAATTAATTAGAGAGGTGGCATATGGCATAAATGCTCAACAATATGATTGTAGTTATGTTTACGCTTTCGTCTTGTTCACAACTGGCAACAGCCAGTTTGCAAAAAAATAATAACATTGCCAGACTTATTTTTGCTTTTCTGCATAAAAAAATGTATTCAAGTTTGGTCCTCCTAAGTTGCACTTCATATTTATTAACTTTACACCTTTTTTTTGTTTTTACAAGGGGGAGCTGTCAAAATTACGTCAAGTTTAGAGGCAAGCAGATGTTGCCTGCATTCAGTGTAAGGGACGGTCAGAGTTCCCAATCCCCAACTGACCAATTTGCGTAACTCATTTTCAAATTTGTTCATTTCAAAAAAGCGAGCACACATAATTTTTTTACCACTTCCATCGTCCCTGTCCATCTCCTCACTCTCTGCCCCATCATTTAAATCACTCACAATTCTGATGCTTGCCAGGAAAAAAAAAATGTCCTTGGGCTACAACACTTTAATGAAATAATTGTTAAAAATAAAAACGCAAACAATCACGAAAAAATGCGTGTATATCATATCGATGCAAGCCCTGTCTCGCTGGGCCAAGAAGCTGCCACAGCTGTGCGGTGCGACCACCAGGCCTAGATTACGACCGTCCGGGACCCTAATCCTGAACCTCCGTTTGAATTCCTTACATCACATCTGGGTCTACTGCTGCCCACCCAACTACTCGACACTCAGGCTGCTCTGGCTGCTGCTGGGTAAGTGACTTAAGTGGGCACTGACAGGTCGGGTTCTTTATAGACCATTGGTCCAGCCGTGGCATTAAAACCACCATCATCATCATCATCTTACCATTGCCTTATCGTCACCTTCGGCACGATCGTTTACCATCACCAAAGCGAGCAGCAGTCACATGGCCGGGCACCATGGAACGTCGTTGGTGGAACCTGACGTTAACGGGTAATCGGGGTCTGGTGATCGCGCGGCGCTCTGCTGCTGGGCGAGGCTCAGAACTCAATCTTGCAGGCGGGGAACGATTCTTCCTGCATGACGACTGTGCTGCTGCTCGCCAGCACCATGATGCTCAGCTCCTTGAGCCGCGCGTGGCTCTCCTGGTACCACTCGCGCATCACCTCCGTGTCATGCGTCGGGATCAGCGTCACCTGCCGGGTTGGCCGGGGGTGAGGGGGATGGGGGTAGGGAGGGCGTTTGTAGGTCGAGGGAGGAAGACAATGCAAGGAGTTTGGTTATTTAAGACTAGCGTTAATTTAGATTTAAGCATTGTCGATGACTGTACCCCGCACATATCGAAATATCGAACGATAAAAATGTTATTCCAGCCCTAAGCGCGTGTGTCTTTGTGTCTGTTGGATCGCACCGCGCGGTGACTGACGAGCCCTCGTGCCCTCGTTACCTGCAGGGCGTTGTTCCCCCACTGGGCTTTGGCCTCCAGCAGGCAGTCGAGCACGCTGCGGCTGGGCTCCTCGCTCGCCAGGTCGTTTCCGCTCACCACATAGTGCGCCGAGCGCACACGCCGGAAGAACTCGACATCGGCCGTCTTGGCGCTGCAGTGGTTTGGGACGTAGGCGAGGTCGACGTAGACGGGCGGCCCCGAGGGGTAGGACGCCAGCAGGCCCGCCGGCTTGCCAGCACCTGAAGGCAGCGGGATGAGAAGCGTGTTAAACAGGGCTGTGGCAGGTAACCGCGATCAGCTGAGAATATACGAGGGTGTTTCACTCTGCAGAGAGGCTTGATTATTTTGCGACAGTATGGATTTGGTTAAACTATTGCGTACGGAGCAGAGCTAAGCCATGGGGTTAAACATAGCAGTGCCCTTGCACAACTACACATTATAAATTCAGAGAGATGTAACAATAAATATTCTCAGACGGTGTAAAAACGTGTGAAATTTATTAAATAATTAAACTGTAGTGATAGCTGTATAAATCTGAACATTTTAACATTGGGTGGAATAGCTGTAGTGTTGAGCAACAAAATGCATTGCCCTCATGTAGAAATTTGAACACTTCATCCACTTCAAAAACTTAAATAACAGATGTGGTGTTGACAATGCCACTCTCTCACATGTCAAGCTGTCCTTAATAGGTGCTTACTAACAGGACTTTCCCCCATAATATATATGGCTAAAACACTTTTTTTTGTGCAAACAAGTAGGTGACATGTACATGTAGACCATCATTGTGGTTCTCGGGAGTAATCATTGTCGCCTTGGCAAGAAAACTTATACATATTAAAATATTTTGGGATCTAAACCTCAAGACTTTAACCTCATCGAGTTGAGTTCTTCAAACTGACGATGGCATCAAGCCTTGATCAGACATTTCTCTGACATTTCACAGCCACTGGCTGATTTATAAAGGAAACAGAGATTTCAGAAGTTACTCAAGGATTAGGAATCTAGTTGAGGCACTAGTTATGATTGGGCCAAGATCCGATATCTGCATCTTTAAAAACAGCCATAAAGTTCCTATTCTTAGCTCTTTCGGTAAAGTCACGTTGAAGGGAAACAATAAAATAATAAAATATATATAAAACAAGACCATAACACAAACGGTCATCATCAGGTGTGATGCTGACCGTTTGTGTTATAGTCGAAACGTCGTGAGAATTGTATTGTTTTATATATATTTTATTATTTAGTTTCCCTTCAACGTGATTTTACCGAAAGAGCAAAGAATATGAATTACTGCAGTCACGAAAGCTTTAAATCAAAACATAAAGTTCCTGCTGCTTCTGTATAGAGATAGGTTGCTCGTAGGAAGCACGGTCATGCTGTGTGTAAATATTTTCAGAAAAATGACCCAGCCATTGGTGGCAATTAAGCATTCATGACAGCATTCAAGACATCACTGTTGCGAACTTGATGCTCTGTAAAACCAGTTGACCAAACTGCCGATTCATCAGAATACAAACGCGCAATTTTGATTACTCACAATTACCTGTTCCAGTGGCCTTTGTTTGTCCAGCACCGCCCCGGGAAGCATTGACATTCACTCCATTCTTGGCTTCTTTGTCCTGCTTGGTTATTTTGGTTTCAGCTACTTTGTTCGGCTTGGATGTAGGCTTCTCCTTTCCAGCTGCGCCCTTGGGCTGAGCGGCGCTCGGTTTCGCTTTACCATCTGGTTTCTTGGCGCCCTTTGCACTTGCCTTTGGATTCCTCTTGCCGTCCTTCTTTGACGGCTTATCTAAATCAGCCGCCTGGGTTTCGGGGTCCGCCATGCAGACGTTTGGGTCCGGGGGCGGTGGGAAGGGGTCCACAGAAGCCGAAGGCGACGCATCGATCCTGCTTCGAGCGTCGACCCTAACCGACTTGTTGCTCTTGTCCGAGGACGTCTTGTCGCTCGGGAGGCAGTCCGAGTCATCCTCAGAGTCCTGGGCGGCCTCCGCCGTGCAGTCCTCTGTTCCGGGAGGGATGTCGGAATCGCTGCGCGTCGGTAGCGATTCACTGGCGGAGGTCGGGGGCGTTTCCTCGGCCGGGGACGGTCCGAACGAGAGGCCGCCCGAGTTGTACTGATTGCTCGACGGCCTGTAGAAGCTGTCCGCCGGCTTGGCTCTGTCCTGCGAGTGCTCGCTGTCGTCTGAGAAATCCACAGGGCTCTGCGTCACGCCGCTGTGCTGCAGCCCCTCGCGATGGTGCTGGAACTCGCAAGACGCCACCAGGCAGAGATCCACATCGTGCGGGGATTCATCAACATCCTCCTCCTCCTCGTCGTCGTCGTCGTCCACGTTGTCTTCATCGTTGTGGTTGTTAGGGCCTCCAAGACCATCGAACGCACGGGCATATGGTGGCGCCGCCTCCTCCTCTACATCCACTTCATTCTCCTCCATGTCGGCCTCAGCATCGCGGTGCGGCGCTTCGCTCAGGCCCTCGGCCATGGAGCACATGACCCTCACAGGCGACGGTGTGGCAGAGCTCGACGGGCTCGGGCTGTTACCCTGGAAAAACTGCGACTGCGGAGTGATGACGTCGACGTCGAAGGGGCTGAAGTCCACCTCGGTGGGGCCGTTGGAGGCGATGGAGGCGATGGAGGCGAGGGCACCCCGTGGCTCAGCCAGGGTGGAGGGGCGCGGCGACATCTCAGGGGGGGAGATGGACATGGGCCGTGGGTCCGATGGATCGCGGTGAGACTGTTCAGGGTCTGGCAGTGAGGCTGGAACCTGCTCCATGGACACGGAGAGAGACTCGTCCACCTCGGTGGAGTGCGGAGAGCCCACCTCGGCGTGCAGGGAGGGAGACACCTCGTCGCCCGTCGTGGCGGCCGTGAAAGGGTCCAGGAAGGAGCTCGTGGCCAATGACGTCGTGGAGGCCGACACTGCCGCCATAATGGCGGCCTCGTCGGTGGTGGGCGTCACCGAGCGGTCCGAGAGGGAGGCGGCGGAGATGGACATCTTGCTTTCCTCGCGCGCCGAGAACAGCTGGCTCGTGTCATCAGCGCGCGTCGGTGACACCTCGATCAGCGGGGCGCGTGCCTCCTCGAAGGGATTCCCCGAGAGGCTCAGGGAGAAGTGCGCCTCCTGTGGCACCGCTTCCTTGAACTTTGTTGCAACCTTATGGCTGGCACCGTCCACTACTGCGCCCGACACGATCTCCTCCGACGCAAAGCCGTCTTTCTCATATTCCTTGAACGTGGAACCGTTCTCGAGCACGCCGACGATGAGCCCGTCGGAACTCCGCTCGCCGTGATTGACCGCGGAGGCCTCTTCGTGGCCGCTGACTGAGTGCAGGGCCATTTCCGGGAAGAGTTTGTGAGGCGACTTTGGCAGCGCAGGGACACTGGTGACCTTGTTGGAGCCCTCGACCAGCAAGGAATCCTCCACCAGCGGTGACTGCGTGTACGGAGTGTTTCCTGCGCTCAGCGGCGTAGACGACAAGGACCTGGTCTCCTCTACTCCACCTCCGAATATGTTGCTGCCAATAGACGGAAGTTCGTACAGTGCAGGGAGGGTGTCGTCTAAATTACTGAGAAGCCCTCCTTTCTGGGAAATTTCCATTGGCGTCAGGTCAAACTTTACACTGCGGTCGCTGGCTGGAGTCTTGTCGAGAGGTATGTCGCTCGAAGTGGTGAATGTGTCCACGTTCACTTCTCCCCGGATATGTTCAGGGCTTTCCACCGCTGGACTTCCACCATCCTGACTTTGGGAAGGTACATCAGAAGCAGTGTGGTGGTGGGGCGAGGCACCTTTTTCATTATCCAATTGCTGGAAATGCTGGGAATTGTGCTCAGAAGGAGCCCAATCTTTATTATCCGACTGGTGAAATTGCAGCACGTTTTTATCAAGGCCATCGCCATCCAACATTGACGAAACGGGGGGGAATGACTTGTTTTGAACATCAGGATCAAACTCTGCACGTGAGCTCGCAAAAACGGCTCCACCAGTTTTTGGACTCCCAACAGGAGAAGCTTCAGCAGTTTCTGGTTCCTCCACCATTTCTCCATCATCATCACTTCTCTCATCCTCCCTTAGCATTTCGTCATCATCCGCCAAATCACTGTCAGCAGACTCCGCTTTTGTAACGGCAGGTGCCTCGTGGACGTTATTCCCGCCCTGGTACGCCAATTCTCTTCCGCCATTCGCATCCATGTGACATTTACCTCCAACGTCATACTCCTCTCCCTCCAGGTGTGCAGAGTTTTCCCGGTGACAAGGCGTTTCCTCTTCGTGAGGAGACGGTTCGGCATCCGTGGTGGTGATTCCCTCATCAGGGGAGACCAAGGACATCCCAACGTTGTCCGTTTTCTGCGACACAACAAGCACTTCCTCCTGCGGGCTTGGGATGATCTCTTCCGTCGACTGTTTGAATTCGACACCATCCTTTTTCACCTCATCAAAATCTTTGGTGAGATCTTCCGGCGAAGAGATCGGAGTTTGCTCCTTCGCGGCAGTGACAATCTGATCAGCTTTCCCTTTTGGCTTCGCAGGTTTTATCTGCACTTTAGTTTTCTTCGCCTCTGTGGCTTTCGCAGCTAAGGCAACTGGCTTCTTCATGTCGGCGCTGTCCTTACGCGGCGCGGTCGTCTTGCCAATGGGCTTCTTGGTGTCACTCGCAGAGGCCTTCAGCTCAGGCTTTTTCACTGGCTTAACATCTTTTTTTACTTCCTTGCTTGCCTTTGTATCCTTCACATCCTTCTTGTCGTCCTTCGATTCTTCTTTTTTTATATCCTTCTTTGTAGGTTTCTGAAGTTTATCTTTGCTGTCCTTACCGATTGCTGGCTCCTTGGCCACCTTGGGCTTCACCTCAGCCTTGGCTCTCTCAGCGCCGGCCTTGTTGCCAGTGTCGGGCCGTCCAGCAGCTGAAGATTTCACAGCAGCAGGGATGGCCTGCGTCTTCTCGGCTCTGGACGTTTTAGCCAACTCCGTTTTAGAATCTACCCTCACCATCGCTGCCGTCTGCTCCTTCTTGGCTTCCCTGGCCGTTCCGGACCGAGAGGACATCTTGAGGCTCTCCTTGCTGTCAGTCCTGTTCTTCGGCTTCAACTGGAAGGGCTTCGCTTGGGCCGCGGCACCAGATGCGAGGTCCCGCTGCGTCACCACCGGGTGCTTGAGAACCTCCAGGTGCTTAAGTTTCTCGAGGCCTTCGAGGATCTTGTTTTGCGGGGCATTGCCGGGAAAGAGCGTGCGCACGATGCGCTCTGTAGGGCTGGCGGGGTGCCACACCAGCAGTACCGCCACCGAGGTTAGGTACGGCACCGACACCTCACTCTCCTTGCCGTTGGGCATCACGACGCCCGACTTGGCCTTGCTGTTGCCGTTCCACTTCTGTAACATGAACTGCATCTCCTTGCTGTCCTTGACGGGGTTGAGCACGTACATCTCAAGCCGCCCGACGCCCAATTTCTGGAACAGGATGATGGGCTCCAGCGTGGGGCTGTTGGTGCGAAACAGCGGCTCGGGCTGGATGCCCAGCTGACTCAGGTGCTGCAGTGTCACGCACGCCTCGTCCAGCCCTCGTCTCACCTGGCGACACAAGCAAGTAAAGTTAGACGGTATGTCAAATGTGCAGTGACAAGGCCAATGATAAGAGACAATCAAGCCAACAGCCACTTTATTACGATTAGGTATTAGTTGAACAAATTGTTACTTCAGGCACAGAGGTATAGGGGCCATCCATTTAGTACATACGCAAAAATCCGTCAAAACCTGACCCCTCCCTGTACGCACGGGTACTTTACTTTGATAGTGCATTGTCTTTGAGCTGTACGCCTCTTGGCGTCATCTGGTCGAGCACCAATTGGGTCGAGGCTCAAAAGAAAGCCGTCCCTTGGTGTGGACCAATCAGTTCCAAGGACAATGCATATATTATCATAGTATGTTTTTTGTTTGCATTTTGACTGCAGGTATTGTGGTTAATGCAGACATGAATCCTTGTAAAAAGGATTCAGTTTTGTTGCCAGAAAAAAGGGGAAAAACCCTATTATTATATTAACGTGTTTAACTATCTAACTCATTTGAAGGCCAATGTAGACAAATTATTATCGCGGCTTCAGCCCCCACCCACCCCCAGTTCCCTATGCGTACGTACATTGCCAGTAGACCTCCCCCATACGCAAGCGTACGCATTTGGGTTAACCCCCCCTCCCCCCTCCATGCGTATGTGCTTAATGGATGGCCCCTTATCAGTAAAATATGGGTATTAACTGTGTGAATACTCATTGTCTAGTGAGGGGAAATATTCTAATTTCAACGAGCATAATATATAAGAGCTGGCCATGCAAATTACAAGTGGCAGTCTATATCCGATGTTGAAGATGATGAGCCCATGTCTGAACCTGGCTTTGGGTCTCCCCCTCCTAGGTTAACGTGATGTAAAATAAATACCTGGCGAGTGACGCGCTAGTGATGGGGAGACAAAAAGCAGCCAGGTTTGCGTGGTGCTACATCATCTTGCTGCTTTTGCCATGACAGGGCCTCAACAGAGTTTCACTGCCTCAGTGCGTACACACCTATATTATTAGAATTTAATTGGAAATATCACGTTAAACGAAGCGAAAACACAAAACTGATTTCACATTACTACACAGTGTATAATTTCCGATTAACTTCATTTCCATGCCAAGATAATTGAATATCACAGGTCGTTCCATTAAGATGCAGAGAATATTGCTAATAACCAACTTTCCATTCATGTTTTTGTTCATGCTTTGAGAGAATGTTATTTTTCAAATATATATATCCAGATTATCAGCCATTATTTCATTAACGTATTGAAAGCATCTGAATATACTATTGTAAAATAAGTTTCTCAAGGACATGTATAAAAATTTTAATTAGAGTGAGATATATGAAATTAACCCTTTTAGAAAATGTTCTTTCAAAATCCGCTACCCATCAGGCACCTTACAGAATATACATATATATAAAAAATGAAATTACCACACATTTACACGTAATGTAATCCGAGATGGACTCACAACACACGTCAATTTTCAATTAAAATTGCAAAAGGCAACAATGCGTCGTTAAGAAAAGCATGCAAAATACTAAAGCCTGCTACTGCACAATTCAGTTTAATCTATCGCCTACTTTTGCCAAACCCATCAAATGATGCATTCGTGACTTCCACAGACAGAACTCGGTTGCGCAGCAGAGTAAAAAAAAATAGGCTTAAGCAAAATGTGACTCTTTCTTGCAACATCGCAAAAAGGTGTAAGAGATGCAGGAACAAGTGTAGATTGATAATATTAACATTAGTGCCTTTAGTAAAACCCATACCAAGACAGAGCACTGTAATAGTCCTTTACTTTGCCAAAGTTTCACCAAGTCTCAAAATACTTTAACAAGATGGCACTGTGTTATGTCCTTTCACTTTTGAGTATTTTTACATTGGAGGAATTGGAGTACCAGGAGAAAACCAACACATGAAGCATGGTGCACATCTGTTTTCTAAGGTTATTTAACCTGATATATATTTTTTATATATTTTTTTCATAGCTGAATTTGAGGCAAATGAAGTGCAAAACCCAATTGAGTTTGAGGGTGTTATTGTACGATCATTGGTGACCAGGCCTAGACGACAAACCACTCCCGACACTTGAAAACCGGGTTTAATCACAGGCGGGTCAAACTTAAGATTCAAGGTGAGGATCTCAAGAGGTGCCAGCCCAGTGCTCGGACCTCTGAGCCACACAGCCCATTTCACTTTCACAAACCACAATGGGCCGAACGTAGAGCATGAAAAACTAACGTTGGCGGCGGGGTCACCGGACTGCCCCATCTTGTCGGGGACGTTGAAGAAGACGACCCCGAGCTCGGGCGACACGAGGTTGCGCAGCCACTCCGGCGACGTCGCCCCGGGCGGCCTGCCCCCCTCCCCGCCCTGCGCCTCCGCCTCCGCCACCTTGCGCTCCAGCAGCGCGTTCACGCCCGGCAGGTTGTCGGCGCCGATGTGCGTGAGCAGCAGGGCGTCGAGCCGGTCCAGGTGGCGTGCCAGCTTCCAGAAGCCGGCACGGCGCTCCGAGCCTCCGTCCACGAGCAGCGTGAACCCGTTGATGGCGAAGAGCGCCGCGTCCCCGCGCCCGCCGGGGAACACGTAGCAGCACGGGCGTGACAGCTTGAGGAAGCCGCCCGACGCTGGCGCCTCGAGCACGCCGAACGGAGACGGCGTCTCCCACGACTCGGCCAGGTACTCGCTCAGCTCACACGCGCCCTCCATGCCGGGCGGCAGCAGCGCCGGCGGGTTCACGGCGACGGCCAGGGCGGACGAGACAACTCCGCCGTCAGAGGGGAGGCTGCCCCAGGAGGCGCTGTCCGCGACGGAGCAGCACAGTGTGAGCTCCGCACGCTGCCCGGGGAAGGCGGCGCTCAGGGATTCCTGCACCTGCCGGTTGGAGGGTGGGGGTGGCGCGTGTGCGGTGGTGACAGTGGGAGGACAGGAGGTGAGGTTGCGTTATTTTTACGAAGCAAGTTAATTGCCCGCAAATGCGTTTATTTATTGGGTAAAACCACGTGGCAACAACGCATTTGTGGATGAGGGCCTGCCCACGCCCGTGTGGGTTGTGAGGTTTGGTTATTTTACTCTGACCACACTGGTATGTGCAAGTCGGTGAATGTGGGGAGCACCGATGTGTAAGCATATAAATACAATAAAATAATGGATTGTGCTCTGCTATTTCCTCTTCTTCCCAGCATGGAGCTCCATATCCGCCTACAACAACTTGACGTGTGCTGAGCTCGACCATCCAAGCACTACCCAGGCTCAACTTTGCTTGGCTTCTGAGATGTGACAAGACTGGGCACATGATTTGATCGCTGGTCCTCACATACAGCTAAAATAAACTATAGCACAAACACGCACGTGCAATAGATTGCACGCATGATTAGCTGCAGAGCTATCAATCAGGATACTGTAAAGATGACAAAGCTGCTTGGAAAAAAAACATCAACAGCAGAAACAGCAGCAGCAATAAAAACAGCCGCATAAGGAGCAGTAGCAGCAGCAAACCTCGTCGTCGGTGCAGATGTTGAGGAGGTGTCGGCAGGAGAAAAAGCCGTCCTGCAGCACGAGGTCGCCGGTGTCCTCTAGGCCCACGCCGGCGAGCAGCAGCAGCTTGTGGTGCTCAGGAGACAGAAGCAGGGCACGCACCTGCATCGCAGTAACACACACACACGGCACACGCTGGCACCCGGCCACAGACACTGGCCACCCGCCACACACACATGCCGGAATGCTGTACCACACACTCGCTTGACCTACACACACTCACTTAGCCACATGAACGCTCAACCAGAAGCTCACGCAGCACAGAGTTCGTTTGACCAAGAAAAACCCCATTGAACATAAGCTCGACCCGACCATAAGATCGGACGACAAACCACTTGTTCGGCCATACGATTGTGCGACCAAAAGCTCACTCAACCACACACCGATTCAGACACGCACACTCCCTCAATCATACGATTGTTTAACCACATGTTCACTCAACCACATACTCACCTGACCCGGAGCATGGTTGGCCTTATGCACAGTCAGCCACACGATCACTCGACCAAGAGCTCACGCGACCACATGCTCGCTCAGGCATGCACTCACTCAATCAATAGCTCGCTCAGCCACATGCTCAGTCAGCTGCATGTTCGATCATCCACATGCTTGTTCAAGCCAAGGGTCCGCCCAGACACGAACTCGGCCGACCAAGCAATGACTCGGCCACACGCTATTCAACCTCACGCTCACTCGGCTGCACGACGGCTCAGCTAACTACTCACTCTGCCATGCACTAGATCAGCCAAGAGCTCGCTCGGCAACCTGCTCATTTCGGTCACATGCTCACTCAGACAATGCTTAGTCAAATGCGTGCTTGCTCAACCACACCCTTCATCATCCATACAAAGACAAAGACCTTCTGCACAGCCTTAACAGACTGTTGAGGCAAGTGCTGTTAGCGAGCACCTATGAATGTCGACACGGCACACGAGGGCATGAGTGGCCATCAACTTCCCCCAAGCTACACCATCGCTCGGCTGCATGCTATGATAGCCACTCACGCACAGATGCAGTGGATGGAAAAAGTGGCCACGGCAATTGATTCAACCAGGGATTTTTTTAACCAGGCATACCCCGCTGAGATTCAGAAACTCTTCTGTAACCGAGGCTCAGATAAGCGCAGTTATTTTTAAGGGGTTGGGATTAAGCTTTGACAAACGGGACACATCATCACATACGAGCACATGTAACCCATTGTTACTTGTCTTTAAAAAGCAGGATATAAGCCAGTTGATAGTAAATTTCACATTTGGGATTGGGCTATAACAATGCTACAAACTTGGCCCCCGATCTTATGAATGACAACATCTCACCGACGTGGGCAGTCCTTGGTAACAGAGCAGAAAAATATTGGGCTGCCGTAATGCAAAAAATATCCTTGTGGAAACCAGTGGGTGACCCCCCCCCCAGCCCTGCTGAAATCAGCTCCCTACAAAAGAGCTCCCATTCTTCATAAAGTGCTTATTGCAGTATGCTGACAATTGTCAATTTGCATGATTGTTCCACATGCACTGTACTTCCATAAGGGTTTAATTGAATCAAGCCAATGTTTTAATACATTTGTACAAAAATCACATGCCTTCTGGGAATATGAGATGGCAGCTTTGCCATTAGTGTAAAACAAGCTTTGGGGAGGGGGTGCTTGGAATGTGCCTGATCTTCTCGCTTTTTCACAGCAGCTGAGTAGGGGTGAAGAGGGATAGTGCTTGGATGGGTGACCGCCATGCATAAAAACCAAGGGGTTAGAGGCTGCCGTGGCCTATACCTACGTTGTCGGCAAAGGTTCGGTGCGCAAAAAAGAAAAATCAGACCAAAAATAAGATACGACAATCCAACATCTATGCTCCCTAACTTACCCAGCCCACCACAAACAGTGTGGTGAAATATGGTCGTGTAAGCCCGATAACAGGCACGCAGTATGGGAAAGGCCCTTCGTCCAGCGGTGGATTGACATGAGGGCTGCACATCAGAATCTAAATCTTTATTTATCCTGCAGAAAAATCCGATGAGCTGTGAGGCTCTGTTTAACAAATATCCAGTGAAGATCTACATATCGATAGGTAACATGCGACATTTGTTCAACACCAGAACTAGTAAGATTATTCATTCACACAGGCAATCAAAAGATGCAGAGGGGTTGTTTAAGCCAATCTGATGACTCAATATTGACAGCAAATCAATTGAAAGCACCTGCGGATCAGCGCATCCTTTCATTTCCCAGAATAAGATGCTCCCCACCACTGCAGCAGACAAAGAAGAAATATTCGCCGACAAAAAAATTATACCCGCTGTGGTTTTTTTTGATGGACGCACTAAGTTAAATCCCGAGGCGCAATTTGCTCGCGCAGACGCCAGATTACGCGCTGCAGCTGTCTAAATTGTCGCTGCGAGAGCCTTATTCAAATTAACAACAAAAAAAGGCCAAGAAAAATAATTGATTTGGCTACTCGGCTACAATTAGTGGTGCATTACAGAACCACCCCACCCCCCCCTACCCAGGCTATTCATTATTAATGTCATTCATGTCCCAAAACCCTCCCCTTTCCCATCAAGCCATGAGAAGGACCGGGGAAGTCATTTGCACCCATTAGTAACCTGCGATGCCATGCGGACACGATCGATATCCTTCTCCGCTCTGGCTATTCCGGGTGCCAAGGACAAGCCCTGCTTTGCTGGTGTTTATGAATGATGTGTGTCGTAAGGCTCTCTTACACCGAGGCTGTGAGAAAGAGGAGAGCGAGCAAGAGGGCTTGAGGGGGGAGGGGAGGGGAAGGTGGGGGACACGCGTAGGAAAAAGTCATCGCGCACTTAGATAAATCGAATGCGCGTCCGACGAGAGGAATGAGAGCACTTCGGTTATGGAAATCCTTCAGTCAGTGACGCAGCCAACAGCGACAGCTGTAATGGAATTGCTGCTTGGCATGCCACCCGTGCCGACGCGTTAAACAGAAACGCTTTATCATTTCACAATTTATTCTGGCCCTCTCACTGCCCACTCCTCCATCGACTTTGCTGGAATCACGGAGAGGAAACGGAACAATTCATGGGGCTGCACCGTTCTCCGAACACCTTGCCTCTGAAACCAGCCACACGAACGGCCAGAAAAAAACAAAGGTCAAAGCATCAAGGGCAAGGCTCTGGTGTAAGACAAACAAGGCAGCCATGCTCGCCAGACCGGAACAAAAACCGTGTTAGTTATTGACTAAAGATCCTCGCCGCAGATCGACAATGCAGGAGCAGTGGCGGCAGCAGCTCTGTCGTCTGGCAGCACTTCACACGGAGCCATCAGATCCATCAGGGTTTCCATGGGAATGAATCCTCTCCGGGACCGCAATGAAGGGAGGAGGGGGTATCGGGAGGTACGGGGGATTTGCTCTGCAGGCGACATATGTTTGAAACGTCACCCCCCCCCCCCTGCTTGCCCTTGCTCTTAACGGCTCGTTGGGAAGTCTTTAGGGAAGGCCACACTGTCTTACGCTGGCAGGTGGGTGAGTTAAGTGAAGGCCAGAGCGTGTTGATGTCGCGATTTCGACGATGATATCGTGGGATGTGTCTGACAGTCACCATGGTACTATGACAACAAAAATATCAATATCTGAATAAAATCATAACATGTGATTAAAAATCTACACAAGACTCATGTTGTGACTCACTGACCTGGCAGAGCATATTCACATGTGGGCAAGGTTCATTCTTGTTTTGAGTGATGTTGCCTAACCTAAGAGTAACCCTAGCCCGACACGTAACAATCCTCTGAACATCAGCCCTACTCTGCTTGGAGCTTTTGTTATTCTCAAGTGTTTGAGCATGTTCACCTATTAAACCCTGTTAAATACGGCTTCTAAAAGGAAAAACACGTTGGCATTTGATGTTTCTGTTTCTACTGTCGATGGGAAAATAGGGTCTGATTTACAACGATCCGATTTACGTCGGGGCTTCCAGGAACGCATTGTGTCGTAAAAGCGGGGACCAGAAGTACATTCCTTAATCAAATTGTGTCAATTTAATCACGCGGGGCATGGGTGCTCGGGCCAGATCACAATTTCTGTTGCAATGTGCATGCTGAAGAATCCACTCACTCCCAAAAGCCAAAAGGGTGTGGTCCGTGTGTTGTTTACCAACTAATCCCAGCTGTGGCTGCAGGCAGACAGTGACACTTTATCCTTCAAGAACACTCTACAAACAAAAATTTCCACGCCCTCCACACTTTGCTCTTTAAGACAGAGAGACGACAGAGCATGTCATCAAATATATACAATATCTTGTGCATGTGTGTGTGTTAGCCCAGACCATTAACTTCCTGTGTAAATCTTTGGCCCCTGCTCACTCATGGTATTCTGCAGTACTGGTTCAGTACCGGCGCTTTAGTCCAATGAGCCACCCAGAAACCTCTTATTTTGAATTATGCCCAGGACCAGGCAGCCACAAAACACAATCGGCCACTTGTCTCAGAGAACTCACCACCTTACAGACATGGACAGGGGAGCCCCAAACACAGGGCCCAGGATGTATGTCGCCACGTACAGCCGAAACATGATCTCAGCTGCAATTATCAATTATATTCTCGAAACTCAAGCGTCAATATTTTGGCCCTCCGGCTAATTAATAAGCCCGACAAGCACGCGAGTAACGACAAAATTGTCTCTCGCTTTTATGCACGCAAGGCTCTGTTATTTATCGTTAAGAAACGTATTAACATTCCCGCAGAACCTTAAAGTGACTGGAATTGTTATGGCTCGAAGCTGGTTGAATTGGGGGCACAAAGGGCTCGCGGATAACATCGAAAATAATAACAATCCTTTATTTACCCATGGAAGCCTCCCCGAGCTTCGAGACCCATTTTCTCAGAACCTGCCAAGGAATATTTGGCCAATTCCTTTTTTCATCATTTTCACACGTGGCAGGCAAACCGAATGGCCCAGCAAATAAACCTACATGCACAAAGCATTTACACTCCATAGAAACGCCACATTGGCAGGTCACAAAACCTATTTGCTGTACTTCCGCCGATGCATTCTCGCCTCTTTCGCATGCAGATGGTTGCCTGGTATAGGCAGGCGACCGGATTTTGCCGCGCTGTTGAAAGGGCATTTCTTGGA